ACATCAGTTACACATTCACAATTTTTACATAATGCCATATTAGTGACTGTTGTAAGGAAATGGATTTCTAGGTGTATGAATTTCCCTTCCTAATAATTATCTGTGACCAAATTCTGATTACAGCTGCCTGGGAGACTTTTAGCCCAGCCCAGCCATTCCCAAAATTCTGACCAAAGAGATTAAAAATGTTAGAAATGTGAAGCTTTGTGGGCTGGGGTGTGGCTCACTGGGACAGTACTTTCCTAGCATATATAAGATACTGGGTTTGACCCCAGCACTGCAAAAAGAAAAGAAAAAAAAACAACAACAGAAAAAAAGAAATGTAAAGGTTTTCATATACTTTACTTGAAGACTCTTATCAATAAATCACCCTGTATTCTTTCCTTCTGAAAAGGAATGAGGTATTTTAGGAGAAAAAGATAAATATGGCCAACATAACATGTTTCCATCAGTCAAATATAAAAAGGATGTATTTAAATTAAATATTTTTAAATTAAAAATTTAAATTGTTAAATATTTTTAAATCTCCCTAGTCAAATATGAGAGTGTATTTAAATTAAAATATTTAACAATTATAAAATATTTCATATTCATTATAAAGCTGAGAACAATGTGAAAAAAAAAAACAACAACAAAAAAACTAAGAACAATGCAGAAAGCTAATCAGAAGAAAGTTGTAAAGGCACCCAAATCTTGGCATGTTTTGGTGATTCTCCTATAATCTACTTATGTGTGCAGACATAGATACACACACACACACACACACACGCACGCACACTTCTTCTTTCTGTAAGTGGAATTACACAGTTCCTGTGTGGTTTTTTGATCTTTTCTAACCCACGCTGTTTTTTTTTTTTTTTTTTTTTTTTTTTAAATTGTTGTTGTTGTTGTTCCTGGTACTGGGGATTGAACTAGAACTTGTGCTTGCTAAAGCCTATACTCTACCACTGAGCCATACCCCCTACCCCCCCATGCTTTTCCTTGATTACCAAAAAAATGAGTGCTCACCTCGACAGTGATTTGGTTTTTCACAGTAAATTAAATAATAGGATCCAAACCAGTTTTAGACAAGAGTAATTTAAGAGGAAAGATTTTCCTTGATCTTAAAAGAATCTTTGTGTATGTGACATTGGCTTGTTTTTCATAATCCCTGTTCATCCCAGTAACATGGAAGATAGAGTATAAGCAACATTTTCAATAATGTCTCAACATTTATTGGAGGAGAAGGTGAGTACTGCTCAGGAGAAAGAGACCTGCTGATGGCAGCTTCCTTTGTCATCCCTTGGCTCCAAATCTGTAAATTCCTTTCAGCAAATCAGAAGCTCTGCAACCTACTGGAGATTATACCTTTTCACTTGAGTGTGCTCTTGTCGTGTCCCCCCCCCCCCACACCTCTTTCCAGGGAGCGATCTTTCCAATATCATATAGCATTTTTTTTAGGTGAGTTTTGGTAAATTTTTTTCTCATACCTTTTCTTCAGTGTTTAATTGACTTTTGTAGGTTGGCCCACCCGTCTACCTGACTCTGTTACCATAGAAGATTTGGTTGCCATCTTGCACTTCTCACTCTTGGCTTGGCTTCCCTTTCCCCTAAACTTGCTCCTCTCTTGCTCCCTAGGTAGCAAGTGCGTTTCTCTTCATTCCCCTTGCTGCCAGCCTGGTCCTGGTATTCCTCATCTTTCTTGCTTTCTACGGTCCCCTCTCTGGTCTTCTTTCCATTTTTTTTCATACAGTCTTTTTTAAAACTTTTTTTTTTTTTTGTAGTTGTAGATGGACAGCATGACTTTATTTGTTTATTTTAAATTTTTTTTAGTTGTAATTGGACACAATTCCTTTATTTTGTTTATTTATTTATTTATTTTTACGTGGTGCTGAGGATGGAACCCAGGGCCTCGCATGTGCTAGGCGAGCGCTCCACTGCTGAGCCACACCCCCAGCCTTACCGTCCTTTCCTTTTTTTTTTTTGTACTGTAGTCAGTAATCTCTTCAAAACGTTTAGACAAATGTTACTCCTATGTTAAAAACCATCATATGTGCTTGGCATAAAAACTGAATTAAGGTCTGGGGATGTGGCTCAAGCAGTAGCGCGCTTGCCTGGCATGCATGGGGTACTGGGTTCAATCCTCAGCACCACATAAAAATAAAATAAACATGTGTCTACCGACAAAAAGACTAAAAAATAAATATTAAAAAATTCTCTCTCTCTCTCTTTTAAAAAAAATCTGAATTAGTTGTCACCGCTTGCAAGACTCTGCATTATTGACATATCCCTTGCTTACCTTTTGTCTTCATCTTTTGCTGTTTTCTCCCTCATTCACTGTTCTCTAGCCTCATTGCCCAGATATGTAAAGATTTCTTCCTAGACATATCAGACTTGATTGTGCTTTCACACCTTGCATCCTCTGTTTCCTCTGCCTGGGATGCTCTTCCCAGAACTTTTCATGGTTGGCCCCGTAGTGTTATTCAGGTTTGGAATTTCTCCTCCTCTAGAGGTCTTACTTGATTTTCCATTGTAAAGGATCTCTTTTTTTTGATAGCACCCTGTTTTATTTTCTTCATAACATTGAGCAATCTTAAACAGTCTTTGTCTCTTGTTTTATCATTTCTTCTTCCCTTAATAAAGTTGAAGTACCTGCTGTACTTCATAGACTGTAGTCCTGTTGATCGTGGCCACCCATATTCCTGACACCTAGAACTATGCTCAGTCTGTCTTATTTAATTAGCAAGCAAACATACAAATAAACAAAAAAACAAAACCCAACAAGGGTGAATGAATCACTCAGATGGAGAAATGTCCTTTTCAACACCCTGTTCTTTCTAGAACCACCTGTTGCTGTGGTAAGGGAGGAAGGTGAAATAGCAGGGCATAGAAACACTTTCCCAGTCCTGGTGAAGCATAAAATAAATAATATAAAGTATGGCCCAGCAGGGAATATTTAGCAATTTCACATGGAAGGAGGCATGAAATTTGGTCCTTGAATTCAAACAAACTAGAATCAGATTAATCTTGAGGATTTTCTGTACTACTGCTGACTTCAGTCTTTAAGCCATATAGACAGATGAGTTTATCTTCAAGCTCCAAAACACTGTTGTCAGCAGTGTTTTCCATCACTTTAAAGCATTGCAGGTTGGATGCTTGTAGAGTCATTACTATCATTTGATTACCTTGTATATTATATGATGCTGGAATCTTTGTGTTTTCCATAAATCCTTTAAAATAACTTTTGTGTTGTGGGCAAGAAAACATTTTACTGTAAGTTGTGCATTCCTAATCTGGAAATGCCAAATCTAAAATCTTTCAAAATTTAAGACTTTTTGAGTGTCCTCATGATGCCCCAATGGAGAATTCCCCCTTCTGCCCTGTCCTGTGACAGGTTGCAGTCAAAATGTAGGTGCACTAAAATTACTACATAAATTTCACCTTAAACCTATGATGTAGAAGGCATATATGAAACATAAATGCATTTTGTGTTTAGATTAGGGTTATATCCCTAAGGTATTCCATTTTGTATGTGCAGATATTCTAAAATATGAAGAAATCTGAAATCTAAAGCACGTAGAGAGTTCCTAACATTTTGAATAAGTAATACCCAACCTATAGAAGGGAAATGTTTTGGTATCTTTTTATAAAATATTCCCTGAAGAATATTTTATACTGACAGTAAATGAAGAATGTGTTTTAAAAATCTGTGAAAAATTAAAATATGTTACTATTCAGTTACTAAACTTTGTAACTGAATAGTAAACATTTTTTTGGTCCTTGAATATAAAGAGGAATAATCTAGTGTGTTAACTATATCTGAGGTAAGTTTCTTTCTCATTCTGTTTTGTTTTATGTTCAAATGAAAGAAAATTTACTTTTTTTGAGTAAAAGTAAATCTGATAGGAGACCGAGATAGTTTCTTTAAAGCCAACATTTCTTGAATTTATCTTCATATGATCTTTACCCTTCAAAGTGACCATCTATAGAAGTTGTACATTTATTCCATCTGTGTTTCCATTCCTTAAACAACTTTTTGTAGGTTCATTTTCACAATTGCTTCAGAGTCAGTTTTGGAATTAGGAGGGAAAATTAGTTCCTTTGCTTTACTCAATAAATTGAAAGCCTAACTTATTTTTGAAATGAAGGGCAACCTCTATTGGGGTCCCCTCCTGCCCCTGCAGGAGTTCTGTTTCTATTCTTCACACTTGAATAATTCCTACTCTTTCCACTCTTAAAAAAAAGAAAGATCTAACTTCCTAAGTTGGCTTTGTGATAGCATTTTATTAGCTCATGAGGCCAGTGCTGTTGTTATGCACCTGAGGTTTTGACTTATAAGATCATAAGAAGTTTTGTAAAGTAGATGTGTGTGAAGAACAAAGAACATTGCAGAACTTTGTCAAGTAATAGATTAAAAAAAATAACCAAAACATTGCGTCCTTGATGATTAACTCAACCACCTCCCTTTTTAAATTTACATTTTACCTGAAACCAAGTATAATGCATTGTGCTTTCCTGCAGATGAAAGTTGCAGTGTGCCAAATCTAGATGAAGCATCGTACCTTTGTGGAAAGAAAGAAAACCATCTGGTCCCAGAAAAAAGGCCAAAAGTGGGCTCTTTTCTGTTCTGAGAGAGCGAAAGCTAGGAGTCTAGTTTAAAATATGACCATAAAATTACTCTTATTTTATAATTCTTGGCAACAAAGACTAGAGACCTGTTTTGGATCATATATATAGTTTTAAAAGTCAAGATATACTTCTTTGAGGGAAGTAGTTGAAACTGTTGATGTTATTAGAAGGCATGTAAGTTTTCTTGTTAGATAAATGAATTACTTGTTTTAGGTGAAGACTTGTTGTTTTAACCTCTGTGATTAAAGACTTATTTTGTTCTGTAAACCAGTATTTTTAACTTTTTGTCTATAAAGTTCACTTTTTATTTACTTTACTAAATATTATAAATAGGTGAGCTTTTAAAAAGTTCATTTAAAAAAATCTTTTCTTCTCTCTCTTTTTTTTAAAAGCTGTACATCATTGACTCCCGGACCCAACTGTGACAGATTCAAACTGCACATTCCATATGCTGGAGAAACATTAAAATGTAAGAAAATTATGACTGTTTTGATCAAAGTAGAGTTGTTAATTATTGGACTTTGCGCTTTAGTTTTTATTTCTAGCCATTAAGTGTTCTCTCTTGCTTCTGATCAACTGACATATACAACTTTTCTTATCTGTCAATCAATCCTAGCTCTGTTAAAAGGAAGGCAGTTGGCAGGGAATAAGTTGTAGGCAAATGGGCATGTACAAATATTCTTTTTAAAAATATTTTTAATTGTAGATGGACACTATATCTTTATTTTATTTATTTATATGTGGTGCTGAGGATCAAACCCAATGTCTCACATGTGCCAGGCCAGCACTCTGCCACTGAGCTATAGCCCTAGCCTCAGATATCCTTAATGTTTAGGCATGCACAATAATTCTTACGTGTGTGTGTGTGTGTGTGTTGTGTATGTTTTTTCCATAAGTAGCTCTTCTGTAATACCCCAATAAAGAGATCCACTGCTTTAAAATACCTATTTAGAGAGTTTTTAGGTAGGAATGGCTGCTATTCACCAGTATTTCTAAGCTTCTGGAGCTACTGATGCCAGGAACCATTATCACTGATATATTTCCAGTTGCCTCCTGACTGTGAGAGTTCTTCCTCAAAGATCTTGGCATGGCTTAGGCATGTTAACATGTTATCTCTTTTATAGTAAGGGTCAGAAATGCAAATGACCTGTGATGGCCAGAGTTGTAACATGAATGAGGGAAGCAGACTGTGTTGACAAATTGGGGCACCTTGTCTCTGAGGGGGCTACCTCTCTCGACCCAGAAAGTAAAGGTCACAATTTTCGTATGAATTCAGTTTTAGATGTTGGTTACTTTTTCAAAATTAAAAATCTGGTGGGGCTAACATTATGCAGGCTAAACTGAATGTGATGGGACCATAGGTTTCTTACCTTGGCTAGATAGGGTACAAGATGTACCACTGGATTTAGGTTACCCCTTAGAGCATCTCACCTGGGTAGCATCAGCCTTCTCTGCCACTATTACCAGTGATAAAGTGCTATCCTAGTGTAGAACTGACAAGAGCTTTGGTTGGTTAGTATCAGTAATCTCACCAGGATTTTTTTTTTGTCTTGAACCTACAGTTGTGGTGAACAGGGCATTAAAATCTCTCTGTTCTTAAGGAGGAATATAGTGCGTAGGCATTAAAGATGGGCCAGGTGGGTAAACTGCTTTTTGGATTCTGGATATGTTTTACCACTATATACCATGAGGGGCCACATCTTAGCATTCTCTAGAATCACTTTGTATTAATTTACCAAATGTAGCATTGAATGAAAAATTTAGGACATGCTGATTTGTTAACTTTGCATTATTTGACCATTCTTTAAAAAATATTAAAATATAAAAAGAATTTCACCTGTTTGAGGTAGTAGGACAATATTAGATTGCTACTTGTTGTGAAAATATATTAACTAAATTTAAAAGAAATGATCAAAGTAGATTACTCATATAGTTAAAAATGGAAATAGTGGCTCAGTGGTAGAGTACTTGCCTAGCACGTATGAGGCACTAGGGTCTATCCTGAGGACCACATAAAAATAAAGAAATAAAGGTCTTGCATCCATCTACAACTAAGAAAAATATTTAAAAAAATGAAAATAGCACTGAAATTATTTTGTGTAGGAGAGCTATAGTCTTCTGTCCTGTGACTCCCTCTCCCAGTCCTGTTTTCTGAGAGAACAACTTATAATTAAAACAAGAAAATTGTTTTAGTTTAGTTCTTCTGAGTTGGTCTCCATTTCTTTAAGTAATATGCTTTTGCCTCTGTTTTTTGATTTACATATTTGAGACATTATTACATTTTCACTTCCTCCCCTGATAAATGAAGCATCAATTTATTTTCATCCTAACCTTTATGTCATTCTTCCCCTTTAATGTAATTATATCACTGTTGACGTTCCGGTGTTTGTTATCCTGTAACTTAATAATTTTTTACTTTTTCTTGCTGTGCCGGAATTGAACCCAAGGCCTCTCACATACTTGGCAAGTGCTGTACCACTGAGCTACTTTCTTAGTCCCCCAATTTTTATTTTATTTTTCCAAAGATCACCTTAAACCATATATTTTATAGTTAAATGAACAGACCCTAAGAGTTCTTAGTAAGTGCAAGGCACAGAGTTAGCGTTGTTACTACTTAATGATAATTGCTGTGCAATAATGACACTTATTTGGTTTCCTACGAACCATAGATAGTGTCTTTTGGTTCTTATTCCTCTTTCTTTGCCTTCCTACTTTTGTCTTCTATTATTTTCCTTTTGCATTTAAAAAAATCGCTTTAGTTGTAGATGGACACAGTACCTTTATTTTATTTTTATGTGGTGCTGAGGATCAAACCAAGTGCCTCATATGTGCTAGGCAGGTGCTCTACCATTGAACTACAACCCAGCCTTCCTTTTTTTGCATTTTCATGATTGATAATTTATTATTTATTCTGAATCTATAATTTTCATCAGTACTTCATTTGTAAATTGCTTGAGTGATTACTCTGTAGTCTTGCCCCTGCATAATAACCAACATGAGATTTGTCTTTATTATTCACTTCTATTTTACCTTCTTTTGTTGAATGTAGGTATCGTGGGTTCTGTGTTTTATAGAATTATCTCTTAGTAAACAGGTCACCTACTTAACTTGCTGAAACCCAGTCTCAAATAACTTGCTCAAATTCCATACTTCTCTCTCCCTTTTCTGTAGCCCTGATGATCATGTTTTATTTCCATGTTCACAATTTAGATATCGTATGTTCAAAGAGCTCTTTCTTGCTCTCTGTTCCTTTTTATAGCATCTTGTTCTAATTTAATATTTACGTTATATTTTAAAATATTTCAGAGACTAAAAAAATTTAAAAAATTTTTGTTACCTGAGTTATTTTAATTTTTCACAGGGAGTATATTTTTGTTTAACATCTTTTTTCCCTCTCTTATTCTGTAGGAATAATAAAAGATATCCATATTTATTTGAGATAGTCAATAAAATACTGATTAGGGGTTTTTATTAATTAGGTGAGCAGGGCTTAAGGAGAGTATAATGAATTATGGGCCAGCTAATAGTATGAGGGACCCTATGTGTCATATTTTGTAGTTCAACTGTTTTTCCAAATAATTGGTTCTGTTTATTCAGGGAGTCTCTCGTATTTTTGCACTGAGGATACGTAAGTGGCTACCATTTTTGGGGTGCTATATAGAGTATTCTCTGAGGAGCTTTTAGTTAATATCCTTGTTTATAGCCCAGTGCCTTACTCTTGCCTCCCTTTAAAAGTTGGTAGAGGTTTACCAGTACATCTGGCTTCCTTCTTATCAATAGCCTACTCCTCACATATTGCAGGACAAGGCGTCCTTTGCCTTGTCTTGTCAATCACTATGTTTCCTCTGCATTCTGCCTTCCAGAAATTTGCTGAAATTTCTCATCTACTGATTGCTACTTTCTCCTCTTTCTCTTTACCCTCCTGTTATTTTGAATTTTTATCTACCTATCTTTTCAAACAGGATGGGGGAACTCAGAAGAAAGAAGAAATAAATGTATGTGGTCAGTTCATGGTTTTGAGACAGAAGTAGTGTGATTTCATTGGCATCTTTCTAGCTGTATGAGTTTCTGTTAGGAAGCATTTGCTAATATTCTGTATCTTCTCATTACTATAATATTTTCACAGGAAATCTTTTATAATATTTATGATTAGTCCTATTGCTGGCATTCATTTTATTGTAATTTTGTTCTATCATGATATCACTTTTTTTAAGGACTTTTTTTTAGGCCATTGGGTGCTCTTTAATGAATGAATAGCTATTATATATTGGGGTTCTTACAATAAAGTGAGTTTAAAGTAAGTCCTATTCTTAAGCAGACCAAATAAAAGAAAAATGTAATTGATCATGGAAACTATGTTTCAAGTTTTCTGAATTAAATGGATGACATTATTTTCTCCTTCTGAAAAACTTGACTTAATTTAGGAATGCTTTCTGAAGAATGTTGGCCATATGTTTCAGTGTCAGGGAGTGCAGACCCAGAGGAAGATTTTATTTATCAGATTAGTAGAAGGTGGTGTTATGTATAAATTTGTTGGCAAAATTCATTTCTTTGTGAAGTTGTAGTATGTAAGGTAGCACTTTGCCTTTTGTTTGAAAAAATTACCCTCTCAAATTTGTATCCTTTGGGGTACCCCTGTGCTTTAATATGGAGGCCACCTCAATAAGCTTATTCAAATTTCCAGACCGAATTTGTTTGTTAAAATTTGTTGAAAATATGATCGATTCATCAAAATAAACAAATCAGCCACATAAATTATGAAATATAAGTCATTGGTCTATGATTGTAAACATTGTGAAATACACATTAACTTAGAAAATCGAAACACACCCTTTGAACATGTAGTTAACACTCAAGTAAAGTTCACTTGAGTCACCTTTATTGGGCTTGTGTTTTTCTACCTGCCCACATAAATTTGTTCTCGTCAGCGCTTACAAAGCAAGATTGTTTTATGTTCCTTAATTTGTATGATATTTAGGTCATGGTCATTTAAGATTTCTTTATTTGTAACTTATATGAAAATTATTTCAAAATTAGTTCTGGTTGTAATCTTTCACAAACATTTCTAGGAGGGTTTGAGTCATGGTGTGTTGATAGTAGTTGTAATGTAGGACAATTAGATATTTTATTACCCTCAGTAATTAGTATAGTTTCTCTCTTTATAATTTGAAATTCATGGAAGTAGAAAATTTACTATATTAACCAGAATTTACTGTAAAGAAAAATCATAGCGAGTCATGAATCTTTAAAAACAGTAACATACTGCTGTATTGCTTCAAAATTATGTTAGCCTCACTCATTTTTTTCTTAAGTCATTCTTTTATTTTACTTAGAAAAATTTTTACAAAGATGTAGACTTAGGTATGTTTCTACTCCATCAATTTTTATAACCTTAAATTGATTATATCCAAGATCAATAATGTCATAGTGGTTAATTATCACAAGACTTGTGATTGAATTGAACCTCTT